AAAAAAATCCCAAAGTTGTGAACATTGCGTGCGCGCGTATACTGTTCGACCAAAATCGAAAAATGACTAATTTCTGCAACTCGAAACGCAAATTAAAATTAATATTTGAGTTTAGCGGTCTTAGAATAACCCGTATACAAAAATGTACGGGGGGGTATTTTCATTTAAGGGAGTAAAAAAATCCCAAAGTTCTGAACATCGCATGCGCGCTTGGAAATTCAGAGTTTTTGATTATTAGGTTGAAAATTTGTAAGAACGGATGTGAGAGTGTAGGGGCGCAATCGTTGACTAAAAATGTAGGAATCTCATCTGGGCCAATTGTAGCCTTTGTCTTGAATTTTTTGAAAGATTCAACCATTTCGTCGTAACTGACTTCGGAGATACCAAAGGTGACAGAATTAGTATCATAAACAGCGTGATCGTTACCAGTAGGTTACCAAATGATGCAGGACAGTACATAGCCTCAAAATGATCGACAAATAAGTTAACTACTGTTGGCAAATCGGACACACTTAAGAGAGCCTGGAGATCTTATATTGTTTCTGCTTATATTAACAAAACGCCAAACGTTTTTTGGTTCTTTTCTTATGTCCCTCAGAGATTTGACATAAACTTGTGCGATGATATCTGCAATGAGTTTTTCTATACAATTTATGGTGGTGTTTTTTTAATCTAAGCATTCTTATTAGGTTAATTGAATGCCATACAGGATATTTCGAGCTTGCATGCTTGCCCTCAGATTTAAGTACGTGAGCGTCCAGGTCGTTGTATAATGCTTCATAAAAAACATTACAGTATTGTTCAACCGATGATAACGTAAATAGATGAGTCCAGTCGATGTTAAGCAGTACCTCGTACATGTCAGGCAGATAAGATAACATCTCGAGCTATCAAATGTGTAGGCACCGTTACCGAAATAGTAAGTAGTAATGCCGATTGGTAATTATCTTCTCGTACCAATGTAAAGTCTCACTGTTTAATTTGAAACTCAAGTTTGAGGAAGCAAGTATCAAATCAAGAGTTCTATCAATGATATTCATTACATTATTTAATTGCAGAAAGTCATTATTACTTCAATATTAAAATCACCCATGACTATGGTATCCAAAGACATATCCAACATTGATTCAATGTAATCGAAGGTGTAACTATACATACATTCCTCCAGGTGTAACAGGTGGGAAATAGCAGACAACAATGTTAAAGGCCGATTTCGTCTTTTTAAAGTCAATCCGTACAGCTTTCAAGTCAATTGATTCAATAGGACAGGAGGCAATCATGATATTCGAAGTAGCAACTCCGGAATTAACAGCCAGTAACATCTCTCCACCCTTATGGAAAGATCGATCACATCTAAAAACGTCATACCTGTCTGGAAAGATCTCGTAGTCTAGGACGCTCTTCTTGACCCAAGTTTCACTGAGAGCAATAATATCAAAGTCTGATGCATCGACCAAAGTAAAAAATTTGTTTTGATAGTATATGTTGTACTCTTTCCGTTGGGAAGTTACTAGTTTTTCTTAACAATTCTCGGACATCCATTAATGAACTGTATTCTTAAATCATTTTCACCGTATTCAAAATCCGCATCTAACAAGGGAAATGAACAATCAAAGAAAATTTTGCGTAAACTTGTGGATGGGGCTCATTGGAAATAATTTAATTGGTCCTTATTTTTTGCCGGATGGTTTAACTAGCGCAGCATACAATGAATTTTTACATAACAATTTAATAGGCCTGCTTGACCATGTACCTTTAGAAAACAGATGTAATGTGGCTTTCCAGATGAATGCCTTGCACACTATTCCCAAAATGTTGAAAATTCATTAAATGAAATGTTTCCTAATGGTTGGATTGGGAGAGGAGATCTAATTCCATAGCCTGCAAGGAGTCTTGATTTGACGCCCCTTGATTTTTATGTGTGGGGCCACATGAAAGAACATACACCTAACATACACCCTATGTTTACACAAGTCAACTCTAAGGATGAATTAATAGAAAAAATCAAAAACGAAGCATATGTTTTAAAAACGTTAATTACAATTACCCCCCCATAAATTTTTGTATAGGGGTTGTTCTAAGATCGCTAAACTCAAATATGAATTTTAATTTGCGTTTCGAGTTGCAGAAATTAGTCATTTTTCGATTTTGGTCGAACAGTATACGCGCGCACGCAATGTTCACAACTTTGGGATTTTTTTACTCCCTTAAATGAAAATACCCCCCCGTAAATTTTTGTATACGGGTTATTCTAAGAGTGCTAAACTCAAATATGAATTTTAATTTGCGTTTCGAGTTGCAAAAATCGGTCATTATTCGATTTTTAAATCTATGGCTAACTTCACAACCGTTAGGAGTTACTATATTAATAAAATATGTAGTTACTTGGCTGCGCTTTTGTTACCAAGTTACTATAATTTTTTACCAAATAGAGCTTGAAGAAACATACTGGTACCGCATATTAACTCAAAATCACCATTTTTTGACTTACGACAGTTTTCGTTGGATAGGTCGTGTTGTGGAGCTAATAAAGAAATAAATTACTAAATTACTAAAAAAAAAGTACTACCAACCAAGGTTTATTTAATCGATAGCAATCCTTCCGATAAAAACAGTTTGTACAACAGCGAATGTTTTTATCCTCTCGATAAGTTTATCGGCCAGATAGTTATCAGACAGATTTATCGATATATTACAACCGGCCCTAAGTAAAATTCATCTTTTTTGTTTTTAAATTTTGGTAAATGTTTTTCCTGTTGCACGTTTGTGTTTAAAATTTTTCAAAAAATTCGCATTCGCTTTCGTAATTACAATTTTGAATATTTTCGTATTCGCTTTCGCTATAAGTATGTTCGTAATAACTCTAATACAGAGATGGGACACAGAATCATTTGTAAGTTGATGTAAAGTAGACACAAGTATCTATTTGTAGCATCACAGGTTAAGTTGGAGGCAGACATTGGTAACTGCCATGGCAGTTATCCTATTAACAATTCCTACCAACCTATACTACACAATAAAATAGAGTTAGAAATAGAGTTGAAATAGAGGGTATTTCACCTCTACAATTCACACCTCTATTTGTAATTAAGGTATTTTTAATCATAGTTAAGCAATAAATATATATATAGCTTGTGTAAATGTAAGTGGTTACTAATGGGCTTTTGAATTTGTCAAGTCATAGATTACAATATATTTTAAAATAATAAAAGTTAAAAATTATTATGTTAACTTCAAAACTATCGTAAACTCAAAACAAAAATCAGTAATCTTACCAACAAATGATTCTGCCGTTCTTGATAAATCTGTAGGATCCGTAGAAATTAAATAATTACTGGTAGCACTCTTTTTCCGTTTTCTACCGGCAAGTAAAAAAATTTTCTTTCCATAATCCCGCTCTAAATGCAAAAAATATGTTGGATACAGCCCTCTATCCATTCCTTTTCTATCTCGTGTTATACGACATTTATACAAAACTTTTTGTGTTGCTGGTTGTAAAATAAATTTTTCAACATTTCCTTCAATATCACCTTCCAATTCTTGGACTACACTATTTTGTCGTATGAACGTTGGATTCTCATCAATGGGAATAACAGGCATGTTTCCGTTACTTGGTGTAGTTACAGGTGTTGATTCTTCATCTTCAATGTCCATTATTTCATTATCTTCAAGATTTTCAATTGGGGATTCTGAATAAAATTAAAAATAAACATTCGAAAAATTGATTAAAGCATGAATTATTATTACCATCTAAATCAAGGCTAGGTAAAACTGATATAACTTGATCCGGGTTATTGTCTTTCATTGTATATTGTAAAGGACCATCATAAGCTATAAAATATCACGAAATAAATCATAAATTCCTTTTAGATTTCTTAAAAAAAAAGTTTACCATGCATTTCTTTTCGATTCCCCTGCCTATTTTTTGCTGAAGCACTTCCATCTGAAGCCTGAATCATTCCGGCAGTTTGTCTTTTCTGTTTCATCTTCATTTCCATTATTTGTCGCTGAAACACGATTCAAAATCGATGTTGAAAAATCGAAAATTGGTGTGAAAAAATTGTATTCTTACCTGCTGCTCTAATTTTTGTGTCCTCGCATCCATTTCCGGTAACAAACGTGTCTTATTGATTAATAATATAACTAATCCTACAATTACAGACAATCAATATCAGTTTTCTGGTTGAATTATGACAAAACATTGGAATTTACTGGAGTTTTGTTTACAATTGACAGCCGAGTAACAGCGGTTGCGATCACGTGACCATCTAACCACAAAATTTAAATTTCGACCTTGAGAATTGTTTGTTGTTAAATTCTTTACAATAATTACATAAAGAAGTATGTAAATTAGAATTATTATTAAAGTGGAGATTATAAATGCCTAAATATTAACGTTAAAATATTTAATATACAATTTTTAATTAGAAAAAAATGTCAAGATAACATATTTTATCTTTTTTAATGTATTATCAGTTTTTTAAATAACTTAATAAACCTAAATTAATATTAAATAACGTTTTTTCTTTAATTTTAAGTACTATACCTTTCCCTAGATCTTCATTTCGTATCTAACTTCATTTCGAAGTAATATTTGATACAAATGAATTACAATTTTTAATTTAAATATATTCACCCTTATATTTACTTTTTACTATTAATTATTTTAATCATTTAATTAAAAATTATTATTCTCTTATTTAAAAAAATAATAAATGGAAATTGTATCTAACTTTACATGATATATGACTTGACGTCAAACGTCAGGTGCAACGTGTCCATTTTAGTACGTCACTTTGTTTTAGAAAGACAACTGTGTTTTTTAAAAGGCTTAAAAAATGGAATTGGGGCCCACGGCGAGTCAAATTGACGAAGTGTTTCACCGTTTACGTGCAATACCCGCAAATAAGGTATAGTTCCCGATTTCTTAACTTAAAATACATTCAGTAAACATTTCCATCTTGTAATTTTATCTTTTTATTATAACATATTAATGATTAATTTCAGATGTGTTTCGATTGTAACGCGAAGAATCCCACTTGGTCGAGTGTAACATATGGTGTTTTTATCTGTATAGACTGTTCGGCTGTACATAGAAGTCTTGGAGTTCATTTAACCTTCGTCAGATCTACACAACTTGATACAAATTGGACATGGGTTCAATTAAGGCAAATGCAACTAGGTGGAAATTCGAATGCTGTAAGTCAAAATTGGTTTTGGATACTTAAAAATAGGTTGTAATTAATTTTATTGATTCAGTTACAATTTTTTAATCAACATAATTGTAATACAACTGACGCCCAAAAGAAGTATAATTCAAGAGGAGCCCAATTATATAGAGATAAATTGAATCAATTGGCATTAACTGCCTGTAAAAATACATCGGAGGTAAGAAAACAATTTGTTGTTCTTATTAATTTTTGAAAACGTTTGCTAATTTTGCATGATTTAACTATTTTTGTATTTTTATTATTCATGATTCATAAGCTCTTAGGCTGATTTCCTGGTTTATACCACAAATTTGATTTAAAAAGTTTCATATATTACATATTGCTTAGAAAAAATATGCTAAGTTCAGGTTCAAAGTTCGTTTTGAGTATTGCTAATGGATAAAAACCAAAATCATTCAGATTCCTTCACAGTTTCTCAGATGAAAGTTTAAAACTTTCCGCAAAACAGAAAGAGAGATATTAATATAGTATGTGTAAGACATTTGTGGAGCAACTTTCTTAGAAATCAGATAACAAATAAATTGCTTTTCTTAGAAATATGTACTCAACTGTGGTGGTCTGATATTTATAAGCCAGGGGTGGGCAGAGGTGAGATCAACAGGAGCCTTATACAAGTTTAATATTTCTTTTGTGAGCCATGTCATATTTCTAATAAAAGCGGATTAGATAGTTATGGGAATATTTATTGAAAAGTAAAGGATAATAGAAAAACAGCTAACAAAAAACAAAATATTTAATAATTATAAACTCGGCCAATTTGCCTTTGATAATTTTTTAAAATCCAGCGTATAATTTGTCAAGGCGGTTCGCAAGAATTCTTTGAGATGTTAATTAGTTAATTGTGAGCGATATTTTGTCTTAACTAACTTCATGTGTGAGTATAAACCCACAAGAATATGTTGTACCAAAAATTTAAAATAGTCGACAAGCTGCTTTCTTTAAATTAGGATATTTTCTCCCTGGGAAAGAGATTTGTGCTGAATTTATAATCTTCCTTTATTTCTAGTACTTCTACTTATCCTGACGCTATGTCGGATAGTATTATATCAGAAATTGAAAAACCATCTTGAATTATATCAATAGTAAATGGGTTGACAAAAAATGAAATTGTTGATTTAAAATTTCTCAGAATTCGTTTTCAAGTCTACAATTTTTTCTTGATATTCATTAATTTTATCTTCCGTAATATTAAAAAAACCATGCTTTTAAATGAGAAAAATGTTTAAAAGTTTTTGACTTCAGATCATTTTCAAAAAGCAACTATACAAATCACTTATAGTTTTTTCTTTTACTTGCAAAGCTAAATTGAGAGTTTGTAAGTGCTGCATGGTGTCAATCAGAAACAATAAATCTTGAAGCCAGCTTTCGTCTTCCAGTTCTAGCCATTGTCTTCTTTATTTTTTTAAAGATATGCAAATGTGAGTAAGTAATTCATTGAATCGGCTCAAAAACAAAACTGAACAATCTTACAATACAGTAAAGAAAGGTTCAAAAAAACTCTTGAACTGACCATGAGTTTTTGCATTTACGCGAATAAAGTTTATTATTTTCAAAACAATATTCCACATGTTTTCAAAATTTAAATATTTACTCATAATATGTCCACGATGAATTATGCATTGAACTGGTAATAGAGGTGAAAGATAGAAGGATTGATTTGAGGTATTGTGACAAATCAAGTTTAAGGATCTTGAATTGCAATCCATCCAACCAAATTCGATCGAAAGCTTGTGTAATGTCCAAGAAGAGCGCTGTTGTTACATTTTGTTTTCAAAACCATCTTCTATTACTTCAACTATTCATTTTAGTTGATGACTTGTTGAGTGTCCTTGTTTAAATCCGAATTGAAAAGGTGGTAATAACTGTTGTCTATTTAACTCATCCAGCAATCTTTTTTTTATAATCTTTTCAAGGAGTTTTGAACGTGGATAATAAACTAATTGGCCTATAGCTTTCTAGTTTAGATTTGCATTTACCTGGTTTATGAAATAATAGTATATTAGCATGCTTCCATAGTATTCAGGAAAGTATCCAAATGCTAAACATGCATTGAATAAGCTGGCTAGGTTAGCATAATATTTTCTTGGGAGGTTCATTAAAGCAGCTTTCTTCTTAGGTAATGAATTGGTTATTTCCTGAATTTCTTTGGATGATGTGGGACATTTTGCTCTATATATTGTCGAACATGCTGGATGTGATGTGCTGGATACTTGTTTAAGGGAATAGATACACAGGTAAGACGTTCTGCGAAGATCGTTGTTTTCTCTTCATCAGTAAAATAAGTTTTATTTTCCTTAATTATCGAAATATCATTCGGTTTCCGTAAAATTCTACGTGTGATTTTCCACATCTCTTGTTCACCTGGATTAGTATTGGATATATATTGTTGGTATGATTCAAGGCGATATATTTCTATTTTCTCTTTTTACTTGATGCGACAATTGGTTAGATAATGTTCTGGATTTCTGTGGCGTTGCCATTCTCGACGAGCGTTGTGCTTTTGTTTAATTAATGCCAGAATTTCATTTGGGGTTGTGGAATTTCGCCGTTTTTGTATAGGTGGTTTACTGGTTGCTTGTACTACACTCTTAGTGATAGCTATTGTAATTTCTAATACATATGTATTGATTTGTTCTTCTGTGGTCAGGAGAGCATTATCATTTAAATTTATCGTACATCTGTTTTGAAATAGTTTCCAGTTTATTTTACCATTAATAAGTGAATTTTGTCTTGGGATTGTTGTAAGTGTTGTATCATACTTAATTATTACTGGGAGATGGTCTGAGTCTAATTCCGGTAGAACGCATTGTTGAGTCATTTTATAAAAATGTTTACTTAGTTGAATATCTAATATATCTGATTAATGATCTGACCTATACGGATAATATGTGTAATCAGTTGGAGCTGATATTTGAAAATTATATATGTTAGACAAATTCACTAGTTTTTCTGCAGCAGGGTTTGAAATTCTACATCCCCATGTTTGATGCTTGCTATTTACGTCGCCGATTATTATTGTACTTTCAGTGATATTTTTCAACAGTTTTTCAATATCACTTTCCAGAATTACTTTATTTGGTTGTCTATTTGCTGCAGTTATTTTAATTGTTGCTTTATTTTGTCTTTCAATTTTTATTGATATTGTTTCAAGAGTTTTACAATTGTAAAGTGTTGTTTCCCAGTGCTTTAGGTGTTTTTTAACAAATATAGCTACTTCCCCAGAAGCGATTCTGTGTTGCCTGTCATTGCGATAGGTTTCGTAACCTGGTATGTTGAATTTCTCTGAATGACTTAAATGCGTTTCTGTTACACATGCTATGTCTATGTTATGCCTTGCTAAGAAGGCTATAAGGATGGCTCGCTGTTTGTTGATGCCGTTTGCATTCCAATTAAAAAGTGTTAGATTACGTATAGTTGGTTGATTAGATATTGAATATCTTGGGAATTATGTGTGTTGTGATAAAATTTTTAATTTGTACTAAATATGGAGATATATTCATTAGGGATTCCAGTATGTTTGTTATAACTGATTGTTATAACTGACTGTTGGTATCGTTGGAGGAATTATTTGGGTTTGTTGCTTGTGCATAAATTTGGGAAGGATATCTGGGATTGGGAATGTTGGTGGATGTTTTTCAAGTACTTGTTAACGCTTGATTGCGGGTATATGTTACATTGGGTTTATTTTTTTTAATTTTTGACAACCCTTGTAATTAGCTGAGTGATTTCCTTGGCAGTTTACACGTTGTGGTGGTGCTTTTCTTGATTTAGTGCAATCTTTAGTCAGATGATTTTCTTGACATTTTACACATCTTGGGGATAGTGTAAAATAATTTTTGGTGTGTCCGTATCTTCGGCATCTATGACATTCTGGTAAACCTGGCTGTTTTCTTCTGTGTTCTACCTCTACAATTGCATGTTGTTTTCATGACCATTGTCATTTGCGGTGAGTTCTATGGCACAAATGGGTATAGGAACTTTATGTTTGTTTAACAATCTTACTACTTTTTTTATGGATAACTTTAGTCGAGTAAGTTCATCTTCTACTTCCTGTGCAGTGATTGAGACAGGTATATTTTTTATCACCACTGAAATTATTTTTTCGTTTGGGTCTTTGTATGTGTAATATTCAACTGCAGTTTCATTATAAAATTAGACAAGTTTTCTGTAATCCTCTATCTTTGTTAAGTTAATTTTGACTATTTTTTTTATAATTTTTTATACTTGAAAGGTGAATCGGTGGTATTTTAATTATTGATTCATTTTGGGATGAATGTTCTGATTTTTCCCCGATTTCTTCCAAGTTTTGTAAAGGGAAAAATCTGTTAGAAGTTGTTAGTTGATTTGGATTCCAGTTGTATTTCTTTTGGTTGTCCTCAATTGGGGGGGATAGTTCATCAGCTTTTCTTTTGCATGATGATACCATTGTTTGTATTTGTCGCCCTTTCGGGAGACTAATGCATACTTATCTATTTTCTCTTATTATATGTATACAGGCTATTATTTATATGTATCTTCCGCATCAGAGCATTATACGGTTGAAGGATACTAGGGTTATAATATCCGCAAGGGAACTATTTGATAAGTAATTTGAAAGGTATTGGTCTACTCTATCGCCACCTCCCATTGTAAAATTATAATCCATCGCAATTTTAGTTTTGCTTATTGTGGTATTTCTCTTCGTAATGTCTACAGAATTGGTACCATGTATGGTAGATAGATAAATTACGTCTCGTTTATCCTTCCATCTTAAAACCGTTACTTTCATTTTCTGGTGTGTTGACAAAACCTCGCCTTTAAAACATCTTCTTTAGAACCATAAGATTTTTGGGATTCCCTCTTCTGTTTGATTTCATTGTTCCATAAGTATCTGTTGAGTGTAGACGAGAAGATTTTCCAACTTAACAGAGGAATAAAAAATGGTTTCAAGAGTTTCATTACCGCTTACGTTGACATAGGCAAGTGGCGATATTGGGGCTTACCGATTTATATCCAGATTTTGATTCATCGAGAAAATAACTTATATTATAAGATTAGATATAGATTATAACTTAAAAATTATTTAATTATTAATTATTCCCCAGCTCCATATCTGCCCCAATAATCTAGTTGCCTTTCTAACTCTGTCTCATTCCCTTCCCTTTTCCAACTTTTTTTGTCCATTTCACCCGTTTTTGTCGATTTTTGTTGATTTGCAGAATTTTGCAAACTTCGTTTTTTCATCATTCACCTCCAAATCCTTTCTACACTAATAAAAGAAGAATTTAAATGTAAAGATGAAATTATATTTGTTCTTCAGAATCTGTGCTACATATATGTTTCGAATCACAATAGAATCGTCATTAGGCACGACTAAAATTAAATTACCTAAATATATAATGTAACCAATAAAAATCAAAATATTCAATCCAATTACCGTCAAAATCAGGTTTATAAGTGAAGGTTGCAAATCATCAAACTCATTCCAAATATCTATGTTTAAATAAATCTTATCTCATATATAAATATTGTAACTTAATGTTATAGTGGAGTTCGTTGAATTCTCAACGTAAATAATACAGTTTAAAATCAATGGAAATTTCCTCGAATAAACGCATATAAATTCACTAGGACAGTTGGTCACAAGTCAAAATTAATATTAAAACAAACACGAAGTAAACAAGATCAAACGAAATTATAACCTTAAAATATATAGTCGGAATACGGTCACGTGAACGATATCTTCTTTTCAAATTTATCTTGTAGATAAACCCATCTACTAGCCAATCAGAGCGCTTAAAATAGCCGTAACTGTGGTAATAATCCCCTAGATAGCTTAACCAGAAGATGGTAGTAACGAGTCTGAATGATCAATGCATTAATTTTAAAAATAATCTGTTGGGATTGATGTCAGTTATATCGTTTAATAATAGCTCTGGGAAATTCTTCTTGTTTAACGCTATATAATATTCCTCGTATAGGCCCAACAGTTTTGATTTTTTAAGATTTTTAGTAATATTTATGTCTAGTTCGCTGGGTTTGTGTTTATATTCTTCAAGATGTTTATGAAAAGCGGAAGTATTTCTTGTGATGTGTTCTCTATATCTCAAAATAATGTTTCTTACTATTTGTCCTATATAGAATTTCTCGCAGTCGCTACATTTCAGTCTATAGATACCACTAATTTCGTTCTTTTTAAATTTGTGTTTGTTGTTTATAAGTAGTTGACTGATGTTAGTATTATTTGTGAAGGCAACATTAATATTTTGCTTGATTAGGTTTTCTTTAAATTTGTATTGCAGTCTAGGTTGGTAAGGTAATTTTAAATATGTTAGTTTTTGTTTACATCTAGGGAATATTAGGTTGTTAATATTATTTCTGTAAGTTGTTGTAGAAAGTCTGAATATCTTTTATCATATCCATTTTTAAATCCAATTTCAGTTATCTCTATTACTAAGCAGAATGTGTTTAGCTCGATGGATGAAGAATCGGAAGGCTGCAGTTTTATGGCTCATGTAATTGAAAGAATTCTTAGGTATTACACAATCAGTAGCAGTTGACTTTCTATGTATATTGAAATTTAATGATTTATTATTTATATGTCTGCTTATATTTATATTTAGGAAATTAATGCCGCGGTTAGATTCCTTCTCGATAGTGAATTGTAAACAGCTTATATTATTGAAGACATTCGTGAGAGCACTAAGCATTGCGTGGTCACCTTCGTAAATTATTAATATACCGTCGACGTACCTTGTATAGAACTTAATATCTTTTGTAAATAAATGATATTTATCGGAGAACAGAGTGTTTTCAAAGGAACTAACAAAGATGTCAGATAGTATACCCGGTATTGGGGACCCTATTGGTAAACCGTCTTTCATTATATAATTATTATTGAAAATGAAAAAGTTCTGCTTGCAAACGTGATTAATTCTTCAATGAGGTTGTCAATGTCTCAGTTTCGATGTCATAAAAGTCGTTGATATATTGTAAAAGTGTCCTCTTGATGTGCATAGTATCGCTCACGGGTATGTTGCTATACAGATTCTTTATGTCAAATGAAATAAGCCTTGATTTATTGTTAATGGTGACGTCCTTAAGTTTGTGTATTAGTTGTATGGAGTTTTTGCATCACGTTTCATTGTAGATTTAAAGTTTTCATGGAGAAATTTTTAATTGTTTTTGGAGATCTTTTCAGATGGAGTGTTAGCAGAGGGCTTATCTTATTTTTATTTATTAGGAGTTCAAGTTTTTTATGATATTGTAAGGTGGGGTCTTTATTAATATATTATTTTGTTTCAAAAATTCTACAGTTTTACTAATATATGTAACTTTATCGAGTATGACTAGACCTGCATTTTTGTCGCCTGGCGTTACAATCAGGTTATTTTCATCTATTTTCCGTGTGAGCCTATTAATATTTTTTATTATATTCTCTTGGTATTGTGAGTTCTTATTTTTATTGCCTGTGCTTGAGTCTTTTAAATATTTTATGATTTCATTAGCTATATTATGGAAATTGTTATGTTTGTGAAGTTGTGATTCCAATATTATGGCCAATTCTATAGGATTTTTATATTGTTGAATTGAGTATTTGTGTCCTAAATTTAAAATATCTATGTCGTCGCTTGAAAATTGTGTATTGCTAGATTAGTAAATCTTGGCACAAAATTATTAACATATTTCTTATTATCAACTTTTATACAGATGTGTGTTTTATTTAGTGGTATTCTTCAGATCTCAAGTTCTGCTGGTTGTTTGTCGTTTTCTTTAGGAATCGTATTACAAATTTTGAAATTTGATTTGCCAGCATATTTATCGTTATTCCGTCCAAGTATTATTTAAGTGTGTTGTTTTTCTTGATTATTCTTATCCTTTATCAGTCTATCCAGTTTGTTATTCTTATCATTCTTACTTTTTATGGTATTGTAGAAAACTTCTCTAAAGAATTTATCCAATACAGCCTCGTGTTCGATGTAATGCAATATTCTTTGCAGTTTTCTAAGTATTAGTTTCAAGATGGTATCTATTTTACTGTTTTCGATGAAATAAACCCCTTTCAAGTCTTTAGCATCTGTTACCATCACCACCAGGCATCTAAAAATATGCCACCTACCACCCCGTTCTGTCCTCTCTTTAACCTTTCTTCCAGATCCCCGAATAATCTGGGGCTTATTGAACTTCAATAATTGAAAGAGCGGAGATGAATCTGACGAAATCCGAATTGAGAACATGACAATGTTGAGAACATATTATCTAAGCGCTTACATAATCTAACAGTTACCTTTTTCCAGTATATAAGTACAACAAGGTCAAATATATTCGACGTAAATCCTTCAATTGATTAGGGATACTAATTTTCAAAATGGAAGTATCTAAACACATATCCATATTCTGGAAATACTGATTTCTGTAGACAATTATTAATTATATGACAAAGCAAAGTAACAAAGAAATTGAATTCGATAATGAACCAAAAACGGTTTTATGTTATGTAACTGCAAGATACTTAAAAGATGTCCACATTTTCTTGGAATTTTGCTACCTGTGAAGAGTGTTTGAATCAGTTTTTTTCTTAATAGATTTGCGAGTTTGTGTAATTCCTTGATTGTGTGTGGTACTTGAAACTAGCTAAAAATAGTTTATATTGGTGAACATCAACAAATTATAAATAGGAGTAATTTCCGGATTTACAATAACGAATCATCATTTAACATAACAAAATCTGTAGTCGATGTATTGCTAGTTATTATCATTTGAACAACAATGAATAAAAGGTTACCGACATTTATCTCCACCCACAACCTTTCGATATTTTTGTTAATCGCGCCCCATAGAAGTTTGAATATAAATTCTTTTTTAGTGCAATACCCTACATCTTTTCCATATCCTTTATTTTCTAGATTTCTCGATTTCTTATTAATATTCTTTTTGTTGTCTAAAGTTTCAAATTTAATAATTTTCGAAAAGAAAAAAATTGTGGTATAACATAGGAATGTTTACACTTCGTAGTAATTTTGCCATTAACATAGTGTTATAAAATAAAATTAGTTACATCTTCAACCGCACATTGAGGAACCTAAGGAGGATAAGGAGGTTGATTTCTTTAGCGAACACGAAAATTTCGTTCCCGAAGAATATTCATTAGGACCACCCCAGGTAAGTTAAAGCTTAGCTTTTTATCATTAATTTTTATTTTGTTCTTAAACATATCTTTAATTATAATCCACTTTATAAAAATTGTTTTTTGTTATAAAAGAAAAATTAAACAGCTCGTTATTTTAGCCCGTAATTCGAACAGCTCCACAAACCACGGCAAATACTCTCTTAGAAGAAGGTCCCAAAGTCGATTTTTCCACACATTATGGACGTGACGAGTCAAAGTCAAATATTACTAGTCGAAAACCGGCTTCAAGAAAACCTGGTGTAAGTTTTTTAAGATTTATTTTTATTTTATAATTAATATTCATTAAAATTTTCTGTAGTTGGGTGGAAAAAAAGGTGGTCTTGGGGCTCAACGTGTAAAAACAAACTTTGCCGATATCGAACGACAAGCAGCTTTAGCCGAAGAATCAAGATTACGAGCTCATGAAGAAGCCGTAAAAGCAGCGGAACTCTCCGAGAAAGAAAAAGAAGAAAGAGATGCAGCGGTGAGACTCGCTTACAAAGACCTCAGTGTGCAACAACAACAAAAGGAGGAGCAAATGAAGAAAGTTGATCCGAAAAAAGCGGAACAACTCGAACGTTTAGGGATGGGATTAAATACGAGGTCGGGAATAAGTCATTCGGCTTTTAGTGACATGAAAACGATTACCCAGGAAAATGCACAGACGAGTTCGAGTGCTGCTTTATTAAGCAAAATGAGTATAAATTCGTCTTTGGACGATAAAGATGGATTCTTTGATGAATATTCGTTTTCGAGTGGATTTAGTATGGATAGAAATAGTGGAAATTCGACGAATAAGACTTTGGATTATTTGTTATCGCAAAATAAGTCGAGTTCGTCGTCATCTAATTGGGGGTCAAGTTCGAATGTTGGGGATGATTTTGAGAAAATAGATAAACCAAAACCAAGAATGTGTAAGTATTTTGATCTAAATAACTACAAAAAACTACTTTTTATCTTAAATTATTTTATTTTTAATTTCTTTTTAGCTGAAAAACATCCTCGTAGTGTAGATAATTCCGATATTGCCCAAAAGAAATTTGGTCAAGCAAAAGCGATCTCTTCCGATCAATTCTTCAATGACAATCGCAATGATTATGAAGCTAAAATGGAACTTAGTAAGTATCAAGGGTCAACCAGTATTTCTTCAGCGGATCTCTTTGGTAATGGAAATCAAAATCAAAGTTCGAATCAATCATTCCACACCCCGGATTTAGACGATGTTCGGGAAAGCGTTCGACAGGGAGTTACGAAAGTTGCGGGAAAAATCAGTTCCTTAGCAAATGGCGTTATGTCTTCCTTACAAGTAAGTTTTGAAAAAAATGTTTTTGATTATTTACTTATTATTTATCTTTTTTGTTCACAAAGGAAAAGTATGGTTACTAGTATTTACTTCTTGTGGCTGGTAATTAAAACTACTGGTTAATATAAATAGAATATGTTATCTTGCAATGGACAACACACACACCAAATAGAACGAGCATAGGATGAAAGACTTAAAAAAATTATTCTTCATTGCGTCCATTATCCACTTTTTCTTTTCTAAAACATAGTGAAATGGTAACCTTTTTTAACAAAATAAATGTTTTCATTTGTATGGTTATATTAGCGAAAAATGATGAAAATAAGAGTCGCTACTTTTTACATTTATCGTTATGAGGAAAAGGATATCGTTTAAAATCATTCTTACGACTTTCCTTTGAAAATGTAGAAATTTGAGGATCTTGATTTTAAGTGTTTTATTGGGAAAGTTGTAAGGATGAACCCTTTAATTATACATATTTATAACTACTTTTTAGAGATAATGTGTGGTTATATAAATATATTTGTTTTTAAAGAAAATAAACTTTGGTAGTGTATATAAAAATAAAAATGAGTCGGAATTTCCCAGTTGTTATCCGATCCTTCTTAGATCCTGCACAGTTTTAATCAAACATTATGAACATTCACCCTTCATGTTTTCAAAGTTATATTTACAGGTTGCAAGGATATTAGATGCTACTGTTGATCATAGAATGCTTGTTGACAAAAGAAAACAAAATATGTAAGATGGGAATTCGTGTGGGTAATAGGTTGTAGGAATGTTGCTATAAGGAACCCCTCTTACAAAGTATTTTTAAATAAATAATGAGGACAAGCCAATGAGTTGATAGTTATGAGGTTATGTATGAATATAATGATAAAGGATTATAAAATTAAAAATTTTCTAATAGAGTGTAGAGAATATAAAACAATAAAATTCTTAAATGGTATGTACATGAACAGATGACACAATTGCTCAGTTTAAGTGAATACATGATCCCTGAATTAGTTAATTGAAGGGTTACTTGTGTTTTTGTTTCTAGCAGAAAAACTTTTCTTTGCACATCCATACCAGTTTCTGATTTCTTACAATCACCTTTTTGTCTCTTAAATTTTTAAGTCCAACACCAGAAATTTAAAACGTCACTAATATGTCGCTTTTAGTAGTACTTTGCAAGTCTTTGCCCTTGTATGAAGCCAAGTTAGGTCGTTAAGATTTTTCCGTTTCATAGAATTCGAGAAAAGATATAGTTTCATAACTATTTAAGGGGGGAAACCATATTAGAACGTTCAAAAAATCGATTTTTTTATTGCATAAATCGTTAGCTTAACTATCCAAGAATACATTGTCAAAATTACAAACCGAAATTCGTGTTCGTTTAGATTTTATGAGCATGGAACCGAGCGGCCTGCCGTAGCCTATACTAGAGATGTGCGCGTGAGTGATTTTTTATGCCCGCTCACGATCTATACCACGCGGGTCACGCACACCACTTACGCGAATATATGAATCACGTGACACACGCATGATTCACCTGTGATGGCATTAGTGAAAAAGCTCAGCACTTACTATGGACTAGCGATTGGAAGACATAGATAATGTAGAAAATATGAAAACAGCGATTATGGCGACATAGTATTGTTGCCCATAGGGAGAAGACAGCTGGTGCGTGTGGCAGAAATGAACAGCTCTTGGAATGGAGCTTGCACCGCATCCTACTCCATTGCATCCCGACATATAGCAGGAAATTCTGCATATATATGAAGATTTATCGAGGGATGAATTACTGGAAAGATGTTTAGATGGCCACACGCAAAACGCAAATGAAAACTTTCACAATTTGCTCGACACGAGTGTTGCCTACAGGGAGAAGACAGCTGGTGCGTATGGCAGAAACGAACAGCTCTTGGAATGGAGCTTGCACCGCATCCTACTCTATTGCATCCCGATATACAGCAGGAAATTCTGCATATATATGAAGATTTATCAAGGGATGAATTACTGGAAAGATGTTTAGGTGGCCACACGCAAAACGCAAATGAAAGCTTTCACAATTTGGTGATTAGTTCCTAAACATTTGCACTCCGGATTAAAAGTCATCGAATTGGCATCGTACTTAGCCGCGGGTTTATTCAATGAAGGAAATTCATCCCTTCTGATGATCATGAACGAAGCAGGAATTGTAGTAGGCACGCAAAGCTTCAACTACGCTGAACAAATAGATAACCAACGCATGAGTCTACAGAATCGACGTAGTTCATTGAAGTCGAAGAAGGTCGGGAAGCTCGAAAAGCACTGCTGCAGGCGCAAAATGAAGCCTATGAGGAAGAAAAAGGACTAATGTATGGTGCTGGAATCGCGGATTAATCGGTGACTACTTTATATTATTGTTAACTTTTCTAAATTTCTAGTTTTCAAGATTTTTATTTCAAACGCGTTTTTCTCAAAATGACTTTTTTCGCATTTGCGGGAACTCTAACTCAAAAAGTAATGAACCAATCATTATGAAAATTGATAGTATGATTCTTTATGAAATTACGAAATATATGAACCAACTATTGAGATGATATCATGATTTGAAGAGAGTTTTTTTTTGCATAATTAGTAAAAAAAAAATGTGAAATTTTAAGTAAATTTTTTCAATACCTGCAAAATTTTTTATTTTTGTTACATTTACCTGCATTGAGGTTCATATTCTTAGAAAATAAGTTATTAATCTAAAATGAAAAGCTTTTTGATATCAGATGAAAATTGAAATGGCTACACGTCCCGCAATTGGAGAACTCTAGGTACGACGTCTAGCGGACATCAGTGCATAACTTTGTTATTTTTCGATAAAATTATTCAAAAAAAATTCACAAAAGTTGTTCGAAATGTAAACAAAATAGTGTCAAAATTGTATTAAATTCTAATTAATTCTTCCCACCCAAAAAAAAATCCTAAAAAATTCATGAAAATGAGCTTCCTAATGTGGTTTCTCCCCTTAATTTTATTACAAAATTTAACGTCATTTTGGATCTATAATACCGTTGTCAAGAATTAATGACTTATTCACGATTGAAAAAACAAACACGTTTGAACACAAGTTATGACGTATTTATTGGAGCCGGTAGATGATGACTGGTTAATGTTCTGCTCTGTAAGTTTTGTTTTATAACAGGATAAGACACATTTATCATTTCACAGTCATCAGGACCATTTACAGAGTAAATGATCGAGATCTATACAGTAATACCCCGCAGTTACGCAATAGATGGGACTGACAGTAGCCGCGTAAATCGAAAATCGTGTAAGTCGAAATTCGATAAATACATATTATAAAATCAAGGATTAATAAATATTAATTTTGTGAAAAAAATATATGTACAGAATGGTTCAAATTCGATGTCCGAATAGGCTATCTCGGAAACGATAAGAGTTAGAAAAACAGTAACTAACATGTCTCGATCTCTTTTTTAAAAGAAATTCCACTGTCGAAAACCTCAAAGCGCTATCGTTAGAAAAACCGCGTAAGTACAGGGATGTATTAGTTGTATGTTCAACGACCAAAAATTTTCACTCAATTCAGTCAAGCATTTACGAGCCCTAACAACTATATATTGGAACATAATAAAATTTATATATAATCATTAACAATTATACAGATTATTTTGCTTTAATAAATTTTTCAAATGAATATCATTTGATGAGACAATTAACAACAATTTTGTCTAATGAACAACACAAAAAACTAAATACATATCCTATTACATCTAATTAAACTATAAAAATGTAGTTTGCCTGACAACTAAATATTGGGACATGGCATGATTTGTATTTCTAATATGGAGTAACATCGCCCTTATATTTTATAACCGCTTGAATTCGGTTGGGCATTGAATTCACTATGGTTCTGCACTGTTCAGGAGTAAGTCCATCCCAAATTTGTTTTATTTTGGCTTTAAGTTCTGGCAATGTCCGTTGTGGGTTGTTCCTCAAAGTTTGTTTCATTTTGTGCCACACTGTTTCAATTACATTCAGATCTGGACTATTGGAAGGCCAAGACAGGACATTAATATTTTGATCGCCAAACCACTTTTTGTAGTTTTGGCCGTATGACAAGCCGCTCATCAGCTAATCCTGCTGAAATATGTAATTTTCGCCAATATTTAACTTCACGATACTTGGTAGTAAGCTTTTTTGTAATATTTGTTGATATTTTGCGGCGTTCACGGTGCCATCAATAAATTCAAAGCATCCTAATCCTGAAGCTGTCATACAGCCCCAAATCATTACTCCCTTCGGAAATTTTACACAACGTTTTAAACAATCTTTATGAAATGCTTTGTTTATTGCGAATTATGCGTTTACGGTAATCGCCAACACTTACATCAAATTTCGATTCATCGCTGAATATTACCCTGGACCAATCTGCTGACCAAGAGAGTTTAGATTTTGCCCATGTGAGCTTGGCTTTCTTTTGTTTTTCTGTTAACAGTGGTTTTTCTTTTGCCTATAAAACAATAATTTTCTAAATGCTGCATTTTTAAATTATTACTTGTAAGTAACACCTTGTAAAACTTTAATCCACTTTTAAGAATCCATTTGCGACAGCATTCCCTTGATTAATTTAATCCATTTTCATTATTCCATTCATCGGTAACTTGTCTTAAAGTATTTCTTCGTCCTTTCTTGCAAATTTTTACAAGTATTCTTTTATTTCTATCAGAAACTAACTTTGGACCACCTGAACTTTTACCCTTTTTTTCTAAAATTTGCCCAGTTTCTCCATAATGTTTGATTACATTCCACACTGTGCTTTTAGGAATATTAAGTTCGTCTGCAATTTCACGTATTGTTTTATTGCGGCAATAATTTTTAATTACTAATTCACGGATTTTTGACCCTGTAGAGATACCACTCACCATTTTAATTGATAAATACAGATTTACTCAACAGCAACAATGTTACAAGCTTTGGAACAAACCGGCAATTTGACATTTCATTTTACGTTGTTTCCACAGTTTGCTTATCTTAATTTGTTCCATTTTTATGGAAGTTACTTAATACTGTCCCAATATTAAGTGGTCAGGTAAAATGTACATTTCTCTAGTTTAATTAGAAGTAATAGGATATGTATTTTGTTTTTTGTGTTGTTCATTAGACAAAATTGTTGCTAATTATCTATTCAAATGATATTAATCTGAAAAAATTATTAAAACAAAATAAACTGTTTAATTGTTGTTAATTTTATACACATTTTATTGTGTCTCAATATATAGTTCTTAGGGCTGGTAATCTTTAATACACGGTTTAATAGTTTGGTTTTATAACATTCGTTCGGTGGCAACATAAGAATTTCTTCCAGAAAAATCGGTGAGACTGTAATCATTTACAGTCAGTTCGTATATCATTTTTAAATCAAAATTGGATTTGTCGGAGATATAGCAATATATAATTCGATGTTTTGTTTTACATTAAATAATGTGGCATATTTAATTTACTTTATTTTTCAAATGATAAGAACTGTCCCACAAATGAAATCTTTATCATCAATTAATGAGTTGAAAAAAGTTAAAGCTTGACTGGGA